TGATTGTAACAATTAAACAGATATGTTCCAATTATCGTTACTGCAATCCCGTTCCTTTTTTCCCGAATGTGACCTACCAAATTAGACTCACACGTATCACCGGGTTTGTACTAACATGAGCAACACGACCCGTGCCACATGTGGAGCAGGATCTGCTTACCCTTTTCGGAGCACCTGAGATCACCCCCAGTTTTTGGTGGGGTTCATGTTGCTCAGTCTTTAGTTTTCTATGTTGTGTTTTGTGTACTGTTGTTTGTTCGTTTTTTTAGCCATAGCGATGTTTATTTTCGACTTGTGAGTTTGAATGTCCCTTTGGTATCCTTCGCCTCTCTTTTAATACTCTATAATGTATAACTATTCGCCATTTATTCCTGTTTGGTTACGAAAAGAGACAGTATGATTAAAAGCAACATGCACAATTAATAATTAACAACAAAAAAAGGAAATAAAAGTGATACAAGTTTGAGCTTTCTAAAAAGCTGTGGACTGCTTCGCTCTATCCTAATTTAAGGCGACATGTGTGCATGTGGTTGTTGATTTGTATATTGATTGATATAAAATGGATGTCTTAGACTTGGAATATCAATTTTTGTATATATATAAAGATGAACTTTTCTGAAATTTAAACTGGCTGTTCGGTGTTAAGTTATCAATGTGTTTTTGTGGAGTGTGGTTTTCTAGTTCTTTCAGTTGGTCATTGACTCGCGATTTTGATTGCTAGTTCTGTATATAATTTATTTAAATATATATGAAAGTTTAGGTATGTTGATTAAGAGTAACATGATTTCGAGTGATGAAGACAATAACAATTAAAACCAAGGAGTAAACAAAGACTTGTACAACCAAAATATATGTTCACTTTACTTGTTGAAAATTAAAACATTTACAAATAGACACGACTCTGGAGTTGTGACTCAACGGAGGTGTGCCTAGATTGGCAGAAGTTATTAAATACAGATAATGCATTTTTGTAAACATTGTATAGGAACATTGTTTAGCAAAACAAATCGTGCATATTGCAGATTAACAAAGCAAATAAACGTATTAATAATTGATATTTCAATATTGAATTTCAGGATGCAATATATGCATAATAAAACGAACATGAATTAATGACATTTGATCGGAACTGAAATACACATAGTTAATTTTCAGGCATTTGATGTCTTATCCTGAGACGAGTAAAGTCTGTAATTCTTTATCTCTTTTAAGCCAATAGCTGTTGTTGTATCTCAGCCGCATCATAGAGCAACCAATCAGAAACTATATGTGATAAGTAATTATTTAAAGATGGCGTGTTTATCAACTGAAACTAATAGCTCTGCACCGTGATGCGAAGCAAAAACTATCACAAATTAAATTCAACTTTTTACTTTGGAATATTTCTGATCAAAATGTCGAATATTTTGATAATCTTGGTAGTAACTTTATATTAATGGCATTATTATAAAATAAGAAGATGTGCTATGAATGCAACTCTCCACCAGCGACCATATAACATAGCAATGAACAACTATAGGTCACCGTACGGCCTTTAACAATGAGCAAAACCAATACCGCATATATAGTAAGCTATAAAAAGCCCCGAAATGACAAATGTAAAACAAGTCAAACGAATAAACTAACTGCCTGATGTTTGCTTGCGCCAAACCCTACCCTTAAACTGGGACTGTGGTGTAACAGCACACAACTAGAAAGAAAACCAAAAACAAATCAGTTGAAAAGGGATTAACTCTTCATATCAATACAAAGCACAAAAAACCCTAGCAAAAACACAAAAGACACGGAGTATACTTCTGAAAGTACTTGCAGCTACTGAAAGCTAGTTCAAAGCCAATTACAACCAATAAAAATCAAGTGTATAGGACTAAAATATCTATCAGTAAACATTCAACATCCCATGGATTTAGTGTTAAGACGTTATTAACAGTGAAAGTAAACATGATCGTTTGTAATGCCAAAATAAAAGTATCGACAGAATGTAGTACTGTGAATGCACATATGTGTATAACAATAGTATTTATTTTGTTTATAGTTTACTGTTATCAAAATTAATACTTATACCGATGAAAACAATATTCAAAGATCTGATTACAGTGTTAAACTGGTAACCTTTTAAAATACGTTTATTAGAGATGACCAGAATATTGACGAACGATCTTATCTCGACGAACGAACGCAATGGGAGCGGTTATTGTATGTTTACAAACGTACTTAAAACTTAAAAGATGTTATCATGTTTAAAGTGCATTTGGATGCAATCGCGTTAATAGATAGAAACGCATAAAAAAGGTTTTCATAATATTAATGAAAGACGTTTACAAGTTTCCGAAAGTGTTACATATAATACGATACAATGTGATTGTTTGTTATTGTTGAAAGCACGATGAAAGGTACATCACACATAGGATCATTCGAGTGCAACGACAACTTTTGCAATGTTCAAACAGATACGAATGCAAAACTTTGATGATTTGATATAATTTACAAAATTATTGTTGTCCGATCGTATGTTTGCTCTGTGTTTTTATTGGGTATTCAAGTTTCAGGAAAAAAAACTATCAGATTAAAATATAAAAAAGAAAACCTATATATATATAGCATTTTGTACCAATTAAAACAAAAACAAATTCTGTTGCAAACAATTTTTTATCATACCTGTCATTCGCTTACGATGGAAAAACTACTCATAACAGAAACTAAAGTATTTTTTAAGGGAATTAACTAGACTAAAGGCATTAGTGATCCATTTATGACGCATACGAAGACATTAAATATATTTTTAAAGCCTTACAACTATTAAGATGAATAAAAAATACATGTCAAAATGACCACAGGCGCTTGTGGGGTAGAATCCCTTTTTAAGTGTTTAATTTCTATTAATTATTCTTGATTAAAATATTAAATTTTCTATGTTTATACCACTTATCTATCACTGCTGCGTATGTCTCGCCTAGTTTCGAGTGAATTTACCACCTCTGTTACAACCCCTTACTTTACTATCCATACTTAAAACAACATTTTAGTATGGTTATCAAACCATGTCAGAGGAGATGCAATGAGTAAGTGCATAGTGGATAGGATGAAATTAGTAAGTCCATAGTGGATTGGATGCAATGAGTAAGTCCATAGTGGATAGGATGCAATGAGTAAGTCCAATGTGGATAGGATTAAAATTTATAAAATTCCAAACACCTGTTCCTTCGGGAAAATTTATGGACCGCAACATACTTCGTCTGATATGATTTGTTTGATAAACATGCAAAATTTTGCGTAGATTGTTGAAGTACGTTTCACTGAGTTGAGTATTTAAACTATCATTGATTTAAAAAAATAATTAGAAAGCAAGTAATATGATTGATAAGAATATCATTAAGATGATGGTACGTCAACCTTTGTTTATTTCGGAATTCAGATATATTGCCTTTCAGTTTTGCTCAACTCATGTGGGGAACCAGGGTATTTCTGTCCTTCCTTCCCAAAGGACTAGTCATTTGCACCATGAAGGGGGGAGGAGGAAATTAAAGGGGCCTCGAAAATTTTGGGTATGGGAAGGGGTGGTATTCAATATTTCAATACTTCAAAAGCATCGAAAAAAATTTACAATAGTTTAGCTGTTCTGTATTTCAAACATGAACAAATTATAGCTAATTTGATAAAATACTTTAAATCAGTATCTGACTATTCAACAGAAGTGACTAACACTTGATTCATATGTCATATCTATAACTATTGTGTCATAACTTTTGGCTTCAAACTGCATTCCAATGTTTAATGTTATATTCATGTGAGTCTTGACCATCTTCTGTTTGTTTTTTTGGACATGGAGAATGACAATAATAGGGAAAAATGGTTTGATGTCTTTCAGGTCTGGTTTTAGGTTTTTCTCGAAATTCTTCTTAATATCATACCCCTTTCCATATCATAAAAGCACTGATAATATTAATAGTTGTTTCGTTACATGGTTTATCGCAAAACTTATGATTGAGCATATATTTCGATGGTTCAAGATGTCATCTAGGAGTCAAGTGTTGCACTTTTAATACGTCTTAGCGTTAACAATTTCCTTTATGACCTAGAGGTATGGAGTCAGGCGACCCACAACCAACGCTTCCGCTTACAATAAAGAAAATAATTTATTTTAGCAGAAAAGACATACATTTGTTTCGCCTCGCTTCGCTCGGCTCAATTGTTAAAAAAAACACCTAAAGTCTCAATATATTCTTCCAGGAAAGTATTTCTATTCGAAGTTTAGTTATTAACTTTTTTATTAAAGAATATGAACAATGTGCTAAAATTGAAAGAAAACAAATAAAAGAAATTCAGATGTTTCCTTCCCCCTCCCAAATAAAAGAAAAAGACCAATCTCTAGTAACAAACCTTAGATAATTTTTAACTTTTGAAATGTGGAAACGATTTCGTTTAGTTACATACGTTGTGATCATCAATCATATTAATATAGTAAATTTCAATGTCTTTCCAATCACCCTTTCCTTTCATTGAAATCTAGAACGTCACTACAGACATTATTTCATCCTGAGGCAGATCAATAAACATATGTTTCATTATCATACTTCTGCACATGCTTGCAGATGAACAATACGAAACCAAGTATTATTTTGCCGTCGAAAAAGAATGCAAAACAGTATGTAAAAAAGCAGGAAATGGTTATAATTTGTATTATCAGTGATAACTGAAAATGACCGAATCAACCTCCCCTTTTCTGCTTTACTGGCAAGATAAATCTAGATAAACGTTTTAATTGTCATAGTTTTAGTATCTTTTATCATGATCAAGATATACATTTGTCATACTTCTTTTTATATATATACAAGTAAATATTTTTTACTCTTGTCATAATGTGGTACTGTATATGAATATAGACTAATTAGCATAAAGAGGTCTATTTATATAATTACCCTATCTGATTCGAACGGTGCATGATGATTTGCCCAATACAAAATGAACTGTTCGCATCTGTCTCGTTGTGGCGCTTTTGTTGCTTCTTCGTCAATATTTTTACAGATTTGATGATAAAGATGGGAGTCACAGTCAGTAAGATACCCACCAAGTTTCACCCATTTTGTTGAATTAAAATTTGTACATGTCAACTGCCAAGCGATGTACTTAGCCAATGCTTTCACTGAAACACACAAAATCAACACACATAAGGCATTGTACATGTTTAAAACGTCACAAACCTACCAATTTTAATACGTGTTGTAAGGTGTTAATCAATACAATATATTATGCTAATTGTGTTCCATAGAAAATACTAATGGTTCATTTATTTTCCCTGTGTACTAACTGTCGTCGATTGATAAAATATTGTATTTTAGTGGATATTTGATTTCGTGGTTTTGCCCGTCTACATTCTAACATATAGAAAAATGTGTACTCCTTTAGACATTTGGATTCGTGATTCATCTTTACACACGAAATGAACGAAAATTATTATCCTACGAATAAATATTAACCTACAGTACTGTGTGATAACTGACAAATAAAAAAGACAGATAATTTATATATAATTATCATTTTCTAGGACATAAACAATTCTCTATCGTTGGTGGGGTTTTTGTTTTTTTAATTTTTCGAGCCAGATGGCAAAACATTACAATGTTTTCGAATTATTGGTAATTTATTGTGCATCGTTTGGAGTGTTGTTAGATCTTGCAATAGTACTTCTGGTCACAAAATATGCACATCAACATCTACTATTTTATTTGAGAGCATTATAATGCTTTCAAGATTGATCAATAAAGAAATAATTACTTTAATGTATCGTGTTTATATCGTCCATGTCTTTACATATTGAGAAGATTACAGCGGCATTGGAGACTTATAACAAAAACTGGTTGTCATGGAACCAGACTAATGATGTCCGGTTCGGGTGACATGTTGTCATGCTTACTGTTACCTTTTTAGCTATCCGGCTTAGTAAGTCGGTCTAGTACAACGCAAAGTTCATATTTCTATCAAATGATGATGTTCTCGTCCGCGTATGTATGTAATATTCCCCTTTCCATCCCCCGAAAAATAAAATAGATTCGAACAATAAAAATACTTTGCAATACCATCTAAAATGTTATCAGATCGAAACAGGAACAACTTATGTTACAACCTTCTAAACAGCTTTTTCTTTTATCATTTCTTGATACAAGGTCCAACGGGTTTTCAAAGATTGAAGTTGGGCTTCAATTGAAGATAGCATATGATCTCCGTTGTTATCATTAGCCAATGGCCTCAAAAAATAGATAGATGACAGAAGATCGCAATTCATTTAATTGATTTCGATATTTGTTCAAAATCCAGTTAATATTTTTAGAAAAAGGGTAGCAGATACCAAGGGGATAAATCATAAGTCGATGAACAAATATAGCAGAACAAGAATGTGTCCATAGTACACGGATGCCCACTCGCACTATCATTTTCTATGTTCTGTGAACTGTGAAATTGGGGTCAAAACTCTAATTTGGCATTAACATTAGAAAGATCATATCATAGGAAACATGTGTACTAAGATTCAAGTTGATTGGACCTCAACTTCATCAAAAACTACCTTGACCACAAACTTCAGCCTGAAGCGGGACAGACGGACGAACGAACGGGCACACAGACCAAAAAACATAATACCCCTAGGTGAGGCATAAAAAGGCGACTTACAGAAAAAGAACTGAGCAACAGGCCACGGTGAAACTCTTGAAATAATACAATAGTAAAATTTGGAAATGCGTAACTCTGCTGAAATTTACCCATTTGTAATTTTTAAAACAATATGGTTGTAATACAAAACAAGTACATAGATACCAAGTGACAATAACACAACACCAGTAAAAAGCATACATACAAGACAAAAATCAAACAAAAAAGACAACCAAAGACCACTTTAGCTTTATAAATGCAGTTTTACAATTGAGAGATTTATTAATTAGTAGATTTGTTTTTCGCAAACAAAGAAAGATATTTTCAATAAATGCAACCTTTGGCAATTGCACAATTACCCATCGTTTAATTACATAATTAAAAAGTAAATCGTTCATTTGACAATTTTGGGGAAGTCAGACTTCGTCGGAGTAATGTTGCTTTCTGACATGTTCCTAGTAATTTACAGATATTACAAGTGTTTGTAAGAAAATTTACATACCTGGTACATCAAGTGTATATGGAAAGTTTCCAATTATCTAATCCAAAGGCTAGCAGATAAAACAAAAATGTACGATATACATCAATGTACATTTATGGAATCAGTTAAAGCAAAAATCATTGCATTGCATATATACTTGGTTCAAAACAGGACTGCTAATAATGTGACATGAGAAGAACTGAATCTTATGAAAATATTGCACAATATTTACAGGTGTATTCTGTGATGTAGAATGTAGAAAGAAACAGAGGGTATGGAGTTGTTTTTCATATCATAACATCCATAAACACACTAAACGATTATCTGCGAAAACTGTTCTGCATTTCAAAGTCATAGTAATGCCTTCAAGATGAAGCAAACAATTGCACATAACTAATTCGAGTGATATAGTAAATATTATAGCACAAATCAATTCATTAGCTTCTTAAATGTAAGTATCAATGTAATTATTATTCTTTCATAAACAACTATGAATGTACAAATATATATCTTTGTTGTTATAAAAAATTAATGTGCATGCATTTAACATAAAATGAAAAAACTTAGCTGATTTCCATACCTTTGGAACGTACACTACAAGTGACCCTATTTTTGGTAATGACAACCGTCCTGGAGGTACACAGTACTTTAGATATCCATGGTAGTTACTGTCTTCTCCCTGCTCTGACTTGCTGACGACTACTAGATGTTCCGAATATCTATTAGAAGGCAGATGCTTATAGAATTTTATCTTCAGTGGTGCATGTTTTAGACGATCTAAATAAAGATTTGATTCAAATTTTATTTCGATCTCTTCTCCATCAACAACACCAAAACCTGTACTCTCAGCTGGCCCATCATTATAACCTATAGAATCCAAGTGCTGCATAGTGGTGGCTACATTTTCAGATTTAACACATTCAATAATAACTTCATGCGGATTCGTATGCTTTTGACGACATATTATTGAAACATTGGTGACACAATTCAATCCTTCAAGTATTTCAGCTGCTCTGCAAATATCTTCTTCTGACATGTTGTCTGGAACAACTAGTCCCAAAACTCTACAGAGAGATTAGAAGTAAGTAAACATAAACTTGTTAATTAATATTGCTATTTGTTTTTCCTCAGAATGATATTTTTATATGGTATATTACATTCAAGATATCACAAAAATGCTATATATAATTTTTAATTTATTAGAATAACTGATTGTGCACTCACTGATATTGATCATTTCCGGATGGAAGCTTCAGGAATCTTGCTTTTGGATGTTCTTCAGAGGCTTCTATTGGTACAACCTCCCAACTCTTTCCTGTCAACTTTGAAACTACACAAATGGTACCCTCCTTCTTTTCAAAATCTGTTTGAATATATATGTTAATCGTTACATTATACAAATGCAAATTACTTTACCGCTGTATTGTTCTTGAGTTGAGTTGTAAAAAAATAGACAAAATGCATCTGTGTATTAATAAATAAAATGTAACGATTTATCAGAAAGCGCTGATGTTTGGCAATTATACCACCAAAAGGCATTATAAAAAAAAACAATTGAATACTGAATTATAACAATTACATAAAATCAATAATATTTCTGTTTAAATTGACCGTGATGATCGTTAAGATTAATGCATTTGCATTGCAATTGTCAGTTTTAAATGTAATACACTTATAGAAAACAATAACATAATGAATTTTTACTTCTACATAAATTTGGGAAAATATTCTGAAATTACTTGACGGTCATTAACAGGACCTCAAACAGATTAGAGATCACATAGTAAGTTGCATATATTTTAAAGTTGTGACGTGTTAGTGAAGATTATGCATTTGAGGCCGTCTAAAAATATATAGAACTGGAGTCTGTTTTTTTAAACGTTTAAAAAGTCGGAACCGCACAAAACAATTGAAAGGATCTGATAACAAATAAAATCTCTATCTCCAACAATGAATACCAGTTTTTTTTTAAATTAGGATAATTTTACTAGTCACAGAATTGAATGAACCGATACATTCACACAAATGTGAAGAAGTTTTTTTATCAGAAAAAAACATATACTGGCTACAAGAATTATAATGAGGGATACATTTAATGGTCCATCTCTGAAAGAATGTTCCCCCTTTTCTGATTTGTCTGCGTATCGAACTCATCAAATGACATGATGAGAAGAAATCCTCAAGCTTTAATAATAAAATATGAAGATGCCATGTTGACGTCAAAAAATCATATAATATATTGTATATATGAGTTATCATTTTAGGTTTCTTTGAAATTAAACTCATCCGTGGTTTTGAGGAGTAAAAACCTGCTTCCAAATTTATAAAGGTGTCGATAAAAAGTGAAGGTAATATCCTTGCGACATCAAATGGATGGTGGACGAACTGATGAACAGATAAAAAATACAATACCTCCACACCATCGCTGCTTTGGGGAAAAAAATAAACCAATTTCGTGAATTTATAATGAGCGTGATAGCGATTTTAGTCTAATTTTAACTTGTCAAGTTGATTACTTTAGTTCTAATGGTAAAAAGAACTGAAAAATTTGTATTAGTACAGAAAATAAATACTAGCTGCTGAAGTATGTAATTATGAGTATACAAGTACAATAAATGTTGTATCTAACATAACAATCGTATTGTTATTAAATATCAAGTATATTTAAATACTTCTATTCAACATGAAATATGTTGATGATTGAGAACCTGATACGGCATTTAAAGTTTTCTATTTGTTTCTTTTTATATAACAATGCACCAAGTTCGTTGTGGACAATTAATTTCAAATCATCAAAGAACAAAGATTACGATCAATATTTTTATTGAACACATAAGCACGAATAGCCAACAGTCTTTTTTTTACATAAAATCTGGTATCCATAAATTGTGAAACACGTATATGCAACTTGAACTTATATAATGTACTTCATGAATAAGGAACAGTAACTGTTGTACTTTAAATCATCATACCTGGATCAAAGTCACTAGCAAAATTGTCCTCGGCGTCTGTGTCTTCAGTTTTTCTAGACAGCTTGACTTGCTTTTTTACAGAATTTATTCTATTTGCCACTATTGGTTGGGATGATTTCAATCCGACTAAAAATTTATCGAAGTCACTATCAGCATCAGAATCGTGCAAATGACGAAGAATCAAGCGAGTCTTGTCCCCATCTGTCTCTTTTGTCTGCATATTAAAATATCATTAGCCAGTATATACATTAGAATATTATCAAATATATATATATACATAAGAATATTACTAGCCAGTATATACACAAGAATATAAGACCTAACAAAATATAATTTTGTATTTGTATCATATAGCAAGCAACCGTTTATATATTTTGTTTTGCAAGATTTGATGGTTGAATCTTTCGTCAAAACTACCAACATTTCTTCTATTCACAAATAAAATACTTTATGAAAGCGACTTATCAATGAGTGTTTTCCTTTCATCAGCAGCACATGGGTGTCACTATTTGAACAGAATCTGCTTACACTTGAGAAATAATTGGGATCACACCGGTTTTTTTATTGGATTTGTGTTACTAGTCTTTATTCTATATTTTGTATTGTTTTGTAGACTGACTTTTTTGCTTTTCGTCGTTTTTCCTTTTTGCCATGATGATACCTATTGTTTTAATTGTCCCTGTCGTATCATAAGTCTCTTGCTTCATTTTCTGTTCTTGATTTAGTGTATTTCTATACACTAATGCATTTTTTCACATTATTTAGTTTACAGTTATTGCATGAGTGAATCTGAATGTATAGGTAGATTGTCGAATTTTATACATTTTTCAACAAACCTTCAGGTCTTCAACGAAGTCACTATCAAAGACATCATTTAATTGCAATGCATTTTCATCAGGATTTAAATTATTGACTACCCATCTGCTACATCTGTTAATAGTTTCTTGGTTAACTGATTGATTCTTTTTGACATTTTTGTCAACTAGATAAAAGAAAGAAAGAATAATTACTTTCCATATATTGATTCTATAGACATTCGTTACATAACTCGCGTATGTGAAAAAAGAAGAAAAAGAATAAGAAAATTGATTGTTAATAAAGCATTCGTTTTAAATATATACAATAACACTTACCAACCCAACCAAAATCATACATCTCTAAATCTGAATCTTCTTTTGTTGAATTTTCGCATGATATATCTATATAAGAACCAGCTGTTTTAATATTTTGCAACTCTTTGTGCTTCTTTGAAGCATTGTTAATGTCCGCATGAGTCCATGGTACTGCCTTTAAAAATATAACACACAGTAATACTTGATTTAATAGTTGTCATTTGATAAAACATAATACCAATAATTACATTATATATATAAACTATAGATCTTTAATCCTAATAAAACAAAAGGCCCAATACGTTGTGTTACCTACTAAATAGATTCTTCATTTCACATAATATTTTAAATCATCTTCCAAACCACATAAATTTGTAAAAAAAAAAAAGAATCGCACGAGGAGAACTGCTACGGATCATATCTGGTGCTAGTACAATGTGTTATAGAAAAGATCTTAGCAACTGTTGTCATGAAGTATAGAAAACTATTTTTTTATGTATGGTGTCCTAATACGTCGTCAAAATTAAAGTTATATCCCTCTATTCTTGAAATATGACAAAGAGACACAAGGTAATCATTATACAGAGTCATTAAAAGACCAATGTATTTGCGATTGTATAAAAACTCGATCAACTGTATCGACCGTCGATGGTGTGATAGATGGGTCGTCAGCAGAATTTTCATTTTCGCCATTGCTTGTGTTTATCTTGTTAAAAGGATTAAAACTATGATATATTTCTTCTACATGTTTTTGTGGATACAATACGTCAAGCTGTCTTATCATTCCTTCATGTAGTTTTGTGGCCAAGTTTTCTTTCACTTCTATGATTTATTTATTATACTTCTTGTAGCTTTTGCAAGCCACGTTGATTATTACCTCTTCTTTGGTTTTTTCTCCCTTTCTTATTGTGTAAAGACTCATATAGATATATTTACCATTGCAGTATCATTGCTCTTTTCGGTTATGATTTGTTTTTAAAATATTACCTTCGTAGCTACAATAGTTTTCCCAGCAAACGCTCTCTGTGGAAACTTTACTTTGATATTTCTGTCAACTTCTGGTTCAAAAACTTTCCCTTCTTCGTCGACTTCGATTTCATGACGTTTGTGTCTGTCAACAGCAACACACTGAATGCTTTCAAATTGGTTAATGGGTATTTCTACTCCAACGAAGGAAACACCCTAGTTTTTAAAATGTTTGAAATTAAAATTATTTTCTGTAATATAGGGATATTATATACATGAGTCTACATTATGGAATATACAAACAGTAATTTAGATAGGAAGACACTAATTAATAGAGTTTATGACTATGTGTTTTAAGGCATACTTTTTTGGGTTTGTTGATTGTTTTATAGAAACAGAAAACAAAACACCTTGACAACAATTTAACCCATGTGTTGTCACTTACCAAACATCTGTGAGAAACACCTTCGGTGTCATTCGGGAACATTGGAAATAAATTAAAAAAAAAAATTACAAGTTATCAAAAAAATTTCCCGTGCCCATAATAGCTTGAAGGCAATCAGATAATCTAAGTAGATATAGGAAGATGTGGTATGAGTGCCAATGAGACAACTCTCCATCCAAGTTACAATTTATAAAATTAAACCATTATAGGTCAAGGTACGGCCTTCAACACGGAGCATTGGCTCACACCGAACAGCAAGCTATAAAGGGCCCCAAAAAATACTAGTGTAAAACCATTCAAACGGAAAAACCAACGGTCTAATCTATATAAAAACGAGAAACGAGAAACACGTATGAACTACATAAACAGACGACAACTACTGTAATCAGATTCCTGACTTGGAACAGGTGCAAACATTTGCAGTGGGATTAAACGTTTTAATGGTACCAAACCTTCTCCCTTTTCTGAAACAATAGTATAACATCACAACATAGACAAACACACTATAAAATATCAATTGGAAGGCTTAACTCAATCAAAAAACGTAAATTAACACTCAATGAACGAATAAATTTGACATGTGACACCTAAAAGCAAATACACAGTTAATAAAAAATTACAAGGGATAAATAATTAAAGTTAAAAGTAAATAAACAGGTTTAAACAAAATTAAAGTATGATATCACTGTGAAATTTCAATGTTGATGTTCTTTCCATTAACAATCCGAACTTTTCTGATTGGGTTCCATAAATATATCCTCCAGAACTAGAAATTAAAGAAACAACAGACACGGCTTCCTCCGCCTCATTTTTAGACTTATATCTCGAATTTGACATACACAGTCATTTCAGTACCAGAATCTATGACAAACGAGACGATTTGAATTTTAAAATTATAAATTTCCCCACCTTAGTAGCAATATACCAACTTCACCTGCATATGGGATATACATTTCCCAACTTATTCGATATTCAAGAGCTTGCAGCTCCTACTCAGACTTTGTAAAACGTCACCAGTGTCTGAGCAGAAAGTTGATGAACCAGGGGTATGTCAAAGAACGTCTCGTCCTTTTTCTAAAAAAGTTCATCGGAAGGTACCAAGACCTTGTTGATAAATATTCCGTATCAACTTCACAAATAATACATGATGGTCTTGAAGTAAAGATTCTGCGTACTGACGTTGTTTATCATCTTAACAACGTGTTATATTGTTCTTTCATTTGTCTTTGTTCTATTATTAATATTGCTTTTACTGTTTGGTTCGTTTTCTGTGATATCCATTTGACGTGGCTCGGTACTTATACATCCCGTCAATGTGTTTGTATTATCTTTCATTTTTGCTGGTGTGTTTTGTATGTGCAATTTTTTGTGTTTCTTTGGTTCTTATAACGTGACTCTGTACTTTAAAAGATCCCGTCATTATTCTATTGTTCTATTATATGTCATTATGTTATTGTTCTGTTATATGTCATTATGTTATTGTTCTATTATATGTCATTATGTTATTGTTCTATTATATGTCATTATGTTATTGTTCTATTATAAATTTGAAAATACTTTGAACGACAAACGACAAATTTATTTTACTCGCGTAGTGGTATTAACCATTTGTGGATTCTTAAAATATTCTAAAGAACTTCTGGACAATTTTAAATCTCGGTCTATTTCTGAAATTAATTCTAACATAACTTTTGATTTTTTAACCCTGTATACCAACATTCCCCATGTGAAATTATAAAATTGTTTTGAATAAACATTGAACGACACAATTTCTTCTTTTGTGACGTTTACATTTTCTGACGTCAGACACGCGAAGCAATGAATGTGGTTTTTAATTTGATAGATGCTTTTGTGCTTTTTTGTAAATGATTGTTTGTTTTGATATTGTAACACAGTGATGACTGTTGTACCCATATTTTGACTATTTTATTTTTTATGTCTGTTTTGTTCACGCATCGTTGTAAATATTACGGAATTTGATGAGACTGTCGTACAAGCGAGAGGTTTAGCGCTATAAAACCAGGTTCAATCCACCACTTTCTACATTTGAAAATGCCTGTACCAAGTCAGGAATATGACAGTTGTTGTCCATTCGTTTGATGTGTTTTGTCATTTGATTTTGCCATGTGAGTAGGGACTTTCCGATTGAATTTTCCTTGGAGTTCAGTATTTTTGTGATTTTACTTTTTTCAAACAATTTTTAGAAAATCATCACTTTTGAAGAAACCTGCGTCATATTATACACAGGTAAATGAAAATAATTTTGTTGTTAAGTATACTTCTTCTGTGTGTATAAAATCTTCCGTTTAGGAATACCAAGAAATTTCTTTAATATCAATAAAACTAATCTAACACTTGGTACACATGGGGTGAATATCAACAATAAAAATATACAATTAGTGCTAGATAAAACTTCCTGTACAGGTCCAAGAACAGCATCTAAGGAAAAATGAAATAATTTTGATGTTCATAATACAAAGAAGTGAAAATTGGAAGTAAATTAAATGCCAAATAATCAAAGCTGGTATATAGACAAGATCCATGTTAACATTAAATAACAAAAAAGCATTACAAATAGTATCAACAGGTCAAATTAAAAAGAAAGTACGATTTGAGAGTACTCGCAGTTACTGACAGCTAGTTAAAAGCCAAAACAATTAATAATAAAAAATCATGCATCAGAGACTAAAATCAACTAAAATACATCCCAGGGATTTAGTATTTTAACGTCATGAACAGTCAAAGAAGACATGACTTGTGTAATGTCAAAAATAAATGTATCGACAGGTAGTAGGATAGTTAGGAGTGACTTCTTTTATAGATAAAAATGAACGTGTGTGTGTCTCTATACATCCCGTTTGAAAAGAAAATACAAATTTAGTTATGTTTTAATTTGCTAATGACAAATCGATATTAGTGCCAATGTAAACTATATTCAGAGATCTAATTACAACATTGGTACGATAACCCTTACTAATAAGTTTGTTTAAAGGTTCGATGAGTTTACACGGATCATATAATGATTTCCGCGCTTTAAGTACAATATTACTATAAAATTTAGGATGTGAAATACCATTTTTAAGAAGTTTTCTACAGGTACAGCCAAATTTACTAATCAAATATTTGTATCTATGAAAGAATTTAGTAAAAGTTTTAAGTAATTTATGGTTACGGTATATTTTGGTGCAAGCTGTTGTCATAGCTTAATACCAGAATTGCTTTTGAAAAATGCCGCTATTATGGTGGCAAACGAAGAAATATTGAACACAGTTGTATCATTCATCAGCATTCGTTAATAATGCCAGCTAGAAGAACTCAATATATTTTTTCAATGTGACCTGGAAAAGTTCGGTTGTTATTTATATTGCAGATATTTCGAGGTGTGTCCTCCAATATGTTGATGAGTCACCCCATCTATTCCGCAAAAGTCTAAATTGATAAGGTAGCAATATTACAAAGGAATCATATCTTTCAGTGAACCGACACTTCATACATGTATCTATGGTTTTAATCACACAAAAGTCCTTGATGTTGAACAGCTAGAACATTCACTAGAACGATGTATAGCGATATCATCTGGAAAGATTCTGCACAAAGGAACTAAATATGTCTCAACCAAATAGCATTAAAGATAGCAGTATTTTCATATTGTTTGAAGAATGGTTAATTAAATTACACTAGTCTATCATTTCTGACTTACATTGTTCAATTTGAAGATAAAAATGAATCTTTGTTATTGAAATTGACAGTTTTATATAATTTCCGGTGCAGAGGTCATATCCGTTCCGATCCATATTACATATAATACTACACTAAATATGACAAGGAGTATCGTGGAGCATGTACGAAACTAACATGAACTATGTGCCTAAGATAAGATATTACATGGAAGAGGGTATAAACATAGAATAGAAAAGCTAGGTTAAACCCGCTCCAAGTAATAACGCTTAATTATAACCACAATGTCCAAAAATATAATTAAAAAAGTGCAAAGTTCTCGAGATAATAAACGAATAGCTGTTTGAAATGGCAAAACAATTGGTCGTTACGGAGTGTTTGGATTGACATTCAATGTATTGTTCTAACAACACAAAGTAATCAAAGTCTTTATTTCACTTACTTTCACTTTTGGTAGATGAATTTCTGGAAGTGATTTTCCTGATCTCCATTTCTGACCTTTAATTGATAACTTCAGCGTTGGTAGTAGGCACTGATCATGCGATACTATTGGCACATACACGCGCATTGGCAACTTAAATGTAAAAATATATGTATTCCTTATCAGCAAATATAGCAATAGTTTTAATATTAATAAGTTTTAAGTTAAATACCGACATGTATATTAATTAATTTTTGAACACTCGAAATTCAATCGATTGTAATCTTGACTTTGATTAAAGGGCATTTATGGTTGCATTGACGGTAGCAGATATGTGTGCACATTCTTCCAGCCGGGTATGTAATGATTGCGTGCAATCAATACTAAAAAGGCTGGTTAAGACGAAATCGGCGAAGTTTCATATAATTGCAGAATTTAAATTGCATTTTATATAAAGTTTAAAACAGTAACAGATGAAATTATACCTCAAAAGTCATTTTGCCTTTCTTTGGTTGTATTGTAATAACAGGTGATATGATTTGTTCGTCATTGGTTTCCAAACATTTATCTAGATCTTCAACAGCATCTGACCCTTGGCAGACAAAATCACTTTCCTGAGTTCCATCAGGCATTGTAAAAATAACACAGCAGATTTCCTGACGAAACTTGTTTTGGCGTGTATTGTAATATCTAAACAAATGGACGAAATTTGCATATAATTAATATTTAGAATGACAAAGAATACACAAATACAGTCGATGCTTTTAATAGCTTGACATATCATGTGTATCTTTGTATATTGTTGAATTCGTAATATTTAAATATATGTCATTTCTTTTTTTTTGTTTTTGTTTCATTTAGTAGAATCTAATTGACTTATATCCTCATGTATGGAATAACTGCACAAAGGAAAGAGTTTTAATGAACTGCTTTATACACCTTCATATTAGAGAAAAAAATAATAAATGAGGCAAAATTACATGAAAGGTGGCCAGTTTTTCCAATCCCTCTTTTTCTTGTCTTCTTCTTGCTTTCTTCGTTTCTCCTCAGCTTCTCGTTCCTCTTGCTCTTTTCTCCGTTTCTCAGCTTCTTCCTGTTCTCTCTTTTTCCGTTCTTCCTCTTCTACTTTTCTCCGTTCTGCGTCTTCCTTTTCCCTTTTCTTCCTTTCTTCTTCTTCCTTTTCTTCTTTTTTTCTTTTTTTCTGTTCTTCCAATGTTTCTAAACCATCACACCATTGTTTCATTTGACTTGTAACACCAGTTAAATCGGAAAAGGACAAAGCTGCGTTACTTTCAATCTTCAAAACCAGTTGTTCAGTTTTCGCTATGAACTCCATCAGTTCTTGTTGTTGTTTTGCAAGTCTCTGCACAGTTTGAACTTGTTCTAGTTTTTTCATATCAATATCATTCCTAATTGGTATAAACAAAATGCTAAACTAGGAAACAATATCCTTATCAGTAAATAAATAGAGTTTAACGTTACATTTGAATTTGAAAATCTTTTTTAGAAATAAAGATGATGATTGGTTGCCGTTTAATGTCACGCTGCAAATAAAATGCCTATTTAGGACAAGAACGTGTGTACTGTATGTGGCATGAAAATGAAACCTGCTTTGTACTAGACTGACATGCTGGTGAGGACTTTCAACATGCTAGTTCACAGGGTTAAAGTCCGCAGGAAGACGTTTTAACTTACCTGGACACATTTATCTGACAACTAATGAACCAGTGTTTGCTTTACTCATGCTGCCTGCTGAGCGGAAAATCGGCAACTATAAATGTAAAAGGTTTGATTTGGTCGGGGATCGCACCATCGACCTCTCGCAATCAAATTGAACACGATACCGCGAGACCACAGAGACGATTTTGTAGGAATTTTTTTTACTTATGTATGGATTTATTTAGAAAGCCGTATGGTGACCAATAGTTACTTACTTCCACGTTATTTTGACACTAATAGATAGATGTCTCATTGGCAATCATATCACCCCGCGTTTTTCTAAGCTTGTACTTATTCATTGCTAATTTGACCCAAGATGTTCTATTTTTGTGAACTTGTGTGTTGATAAGTTGCTGTCCTTATGACGTTTGTCAAATATCTATATACAAGTGTTATATCGGTATGTCATTTTATGGTGTGTAGATTACCTATTCAACGGCCTTCCTTGTGGTGAAAATTCAACTGCAAAGAATAAAATACATATAGATTAGCAATTAAAAAAAACCTTCACGTCGGAGTAGTACATATACAAGCAACTCAAATCATTTGATTAAGTTTATTATAAGGAAATAGATATTTAAAAAAACGGTATGTTATAGAATATATATTTTTCTGTTTGATAAACTTCTTCATAAAGGTAATGAGCGTACATGTATGTGAAATCGTTAATGTTGTGTTGTGCTTGTTTAGTTAAAGTATTGTAGAGGAAATAAATTATTCAAAGAAACAAAAGAAGGTGGCTTATTAAAGGTAAATTTATCCAAGAGTTTGTTGAAAAAAGGTATATAAAAAGACCCTTTGATGCATACACGAAATCCATTTTCACATATTTTGTTTTATCGATGCCAATCCGCATTGTATTGACTTATGACCAAGATTTTTGCAGTGAGTGAACAAAATTCTAATTTTTTATGTAATTTTGTTGCCATTTTCGTTGTTTTATACCTGATATAATTTTCATTTATGTTTCATATATGTTGTTTAGTTTATTTTGTATTATATATCCAACTCAATTCAACTGTCATTGCCATTAAATTTAACCTTTGCGTCAAATAATTTACACTATTTGATATCGTTCAACATCATCGATATTGTTTGGCTAAATTAATTTCATTGAAGAATTTTGTGATTACTGTATGTTTAATGATTAGGATTTTGTCTATGTTAACGACCCTTTATTTTTGCATGCATAGCAGGAGACGTCTATCCTGTCGACGTACCCTGTCTTGCTCTTTTTACTGTTCATCCAACTCCTTCAGTTCGTGTTTGTTGCTTTTATTTGTCTCTTAGATTTTCTACTCGATTTACGAGATTTGAAATTCGGTAAACTACTTTCACTTTAATTTGCATACATTCCCAGGTTTGAGACACGTGCAAGTTTGTGTTGTTGTTTGATTTTTTTTATATATGTTTTTTTGCAATATTCTGTATTTTGAGAATTTGCGATTCAAGTGAGTGGGTGTGTTTATATTGTATTCATTGAGTTTTAGAAATATATGGATAATTTTACGCTCCAATTGCGTTGTCCCGATACAGTGTACTAAGTTTTATCCTTTAAATCGTACATCACTGCATTGATCATCATGCAGAAATACGGTTTACATAAGACATACATACGGGGCCATAATTTTCATTTCGGGGCCTTTTACAGCTGACTGTGCGGTATGGGCTTTGCTCATTGATGAAGGCCGTACGGTGACCTATAGTTGTTAATTTCTGTGTCATTTGGTCTCTTGTGGAGAGTTGTCTCATTGGCAATCATACCACATCTTCTTTTTTATACATATATTTACAGAATTAATCAATGCAAAGTATGAAATAGTATGGGATTTCCCTTGTCCTTAGTTGTGTTTGTTCTTAACAATAATTTATAATTTTTATAAAGGGGAAAAGTACGTTTTGTGCCATAACACTGCAAAGGTATATATGGTAATGAATAAAATTGAGAATGGAAATGGGGAATGTGTCAAAGAGACAACAACCCGACCATAGAACAGACAACAGTAGAAGGTCACCAACAGGTCTTCAATGCAGCGAGAAATTCCCGCACCCGGAGGCGTCCTTCAGCTGGCCCCTAAACAAATATATATACTAGTTCAGTGATAATGAACGCCATACTAAACTCCAAATTGTACACAAGAAACTAAAATTAAAAATAATACAAGACTAACAAAGGCTAGAGGCTCCTGACTTGGGACAGGCGCAAAAATGTGGCGGGGTTAAACATGTTTATGAGATCTACATGTACATTTTTGTAAGTAAATGAAACTTTAGTTCAATTGAAATAGTTAAATTTTATTGACGTAGTTATATAGGTTTAGAGTCTTGTTTGAATGTTTGTCATTGTCCTTTACTTTATTACATTTATAGTTTGTTAAGTCGGTTATATATATTATTGCACTGAATACACTATTTCTTGTACATATTTTCCTTGCAAAAACCCGCACCAGTGTTCAAAAAAAAATTTACCTGTAAAACCCCCACACTATCTAACGACATCAAAAGCTGAATCTTTAGTAATCAAATAGAAAATTATGCGTCGTTTGTGCTAAACTTTGTCTTCGATGAAAAATGATTTTGACATCATGAATAATTCAAAACTGAAATACTGGTGAAATAAGATTATTTGACTCCAACTTTATCTGGTTGGCAATACACTAAAAATATACTGGTTTTTACCAAGAATGCGATTTCAAAAAGAAAATATACCTCCTGGGATTGTAGCCAATTGTTATTCCAATTTTAATGAACCTTACACGTTACAAGTTAAAAAATCAATTTAGAACATTCTGTAAGATTACCTACTTTTTATCAAGTTCTTTTTCATTAATTCTTGTAGATGTTCGCCGATTTTGACGCTGCAGTTTTTCACCAATTCTCTGACATTTTCGAGTTCTTCTATAATTTCTGTTGCATACTTGGATACTTTTTCTAAATCTGTTTGTGTCTTTGTCATAGTCTTTGGTACGGTTTCTTCATACTTCTCAAATGATATGTTTGGGTCGGCGGGATTTGGTAATTTTTTTAGCGCCTCTTTTCGCTGACGTAATAAGTGTAACGCTTCAATGTCAACCATTTTGGTACTGTAAAACGAATTTGTGTTATAAGTCATCAATGTTTAAGTAACTTTTATAATTATTTATCAACTGTGGAAAAAAGATGTACACGTCAAGAAAGACAACAGATTATCTAATGCTACAAAAAACGACAGCTTAAGTTTATTTATTTTACTTACAGACTTGACTTGACTTGAGATGGCATATCATATGTCTAATATCATATAAATGTTTTGGTCGGAGGCCATTTTAAAGAGAGGGACATTCAAACTCATAACTCGAATAAAAACTGACAACTCCATGGCAAAAAAATAATTCGCCCAAAAGACACACAACAGTATACAACATTGAAAACTAAAGAATGAGCAACACGAACCTCATCCAAACCCGAGATGATCGCAAGTTCTTCAGAAGGGTAAGCAGATCCTACTCTACATGTCAAAATCGGGAGGTCACATTCGGGGAAAAGAAAGACGGTGTTGTGGGTACGCCGATTAGAATATATCAAATATTCAAAGTTAGAAGCAGGAGAAAGTAGATGGAATTATCATGCAATTATGGCGCAGCTGTTGATGCATTTATTTGAGAGATTAAAATCTAATCTGAATACATTGTTTTTATACATGTTGTAGTTCTTCTCATGATGGAAATAGGTTTTGAATAATTAAAACATCAAATATATCCGTATTTATAAAGTCCTTTTGAACATCAATCCAAAATGAAAAATGAAAAGATAATGCCACAACAATAAGGCAATAAATGTATTAAATTCATAAAAAACACATAATTTCTTGTTGTTAAAAAATCATATAAAGAAAGAAAAACGACAAAAGAATGAAATCATCGTCAATTATTATATTGCTTTACAATAGTGTATAAACTTTGTATTCTAGTTTTAATTGTATTGTATTTTATACTTAATTTACATAATTATGATATGTAGTTGTTTCTATAAATTCAAGTTTTTTCTTGCTTTATGTTAAATGCCCAAAGTGTGTCAAATGACACACACCACTGGTATACTTGAAGAATTTATAAATTAGAACTATTAATGACAGCTTTCTGTCCTTTTCTTTAATAGTAAAAAAAAAATAATCTGCAGTTAACTGAAGTTTGTAATATTAATAAAATAAATTATCGGCATTTTTTCCATCGAATGAGTCAATATCTGTTATCTACATTTTTATGAAACCTGGTTTACGCTTCAACGTCGAGAAAGTCGTATGTGTGCAAACGTCCATCCAAAATAAAATTTCGATTTTCTATATCGCGATATAATTATTCAATCTGACAAACTGTCAACTATCAATACAATTGCTAGGGCATTGGTACCTCATTTTATACCATTAGAGGTATGTTTCTAATAACATAAACTGCATGTAATCTGACATCTTCTGATAATGTTTAACTTTTCTTTAGCCTTTTTATTTCTTATGAATTCCTTGTTTAAATATCATGTTTTATTCATTTAAAGAAAATCAGTTTACAACATACCTTAATAATGACCATCAATTGAAAAATTCCAACTACGATATGTATATCATTGAGCTGCACAACATATTTAAACTTGTTTCCAAATGATTAGAAATATTTTGAAATTCTATTAGCTGGACTACTTTTTGTTCCGGGTTAGGTTACAGGCATACCAATCCGTCATATAAACTGATAAGACATATTTTAAGTTTAAAGGGAATAAACATAATTATGTAGCTACATCATTTGCATTGTGCCGGTATTCATTAAATCAAAATGTAATTTAAATTTTTAAAGATTGAATGCGTAGGATGTACTCAAGGCTTAATACTAGTAGTGCATTTCATTTATTTCATACAAAAGAAAATGTTTCTTCAGATGAGTAACATTTTATTTGTTCAAATTCATATATATTTTCCTTAACGTTATGTTCCTGGCCACCATTTCACAAAGCCTTCTTAAATTACGATCATCGTATCATTTTACGATCCGTTTACGTGTGGTTCTACGTTCCCTGTTACGTGTGTTTCACAAAGGCATCGCAAAGGACTACTAAGTTGATCGCAAGTTACGCACTGTGTTTCATCGTAAGTGTATCGTAAAACGGAACACTGTAAACAGGAGAAGTGAATCGTAGTTTATTCACATCGGAATATGGCACACTCTTCTTTCACAGATCGATGAGTCGAGCATGCCGATGAGAGCGGACGTGAAAATGTTTGCAGAGAGAATCCTTCAACATCAATGGGCTGTGGATTCAAACATTGTTTTTAGCATTTACCTTTAATTCTACGATGTCATGATTTAAAGACTATGTGCGTCTCCTAAAGGGAACGGACGAGCATTAGAATAATTTCCATAAACTATAAACACACAAGGGTGTGTTCCAAATTTGATTTTAAAAACAAGTTGATATGATTTAAAGTATTCCAGAAATAAGCTCACATTATTTTTCAGTACTTTACAAACCTGCTAGTGCATTTTCATTGTTATTCAACGCAAATTAATTATCTAAGATACCTTAGAATATAGCAAAGTGCTCTCGACCAATGAAATTGTAGGATTTGATGTTTCTTAATTGTGAAAAATGAAGGTAAATCATGTTCTTAGTAAGGGATTATCCTATTGTTTAGGTACATTTACAATTCAAAACAAAGATTTCCTATATAGAAATGAGTTACAACTTCCCCGAAGCACATTTATCAGCTTGAAAAGATTTGTGATTGACACAGACTAAAAGTTGAATTTTGAAACAAACAAAAAAAAAAATCAAAATAAGTTGAAGTTTACTGGTGAAGTAAAATTGATACCGTTAATGGTATTATGAAAATATTAATAACTTCAAGTTACAGAAAGAAAAAAAACAATACCAAAGCAATACAAAGTAAGAAAAAAAAAGATTTATATATATTAAATATAACCTAAATCTTAAAATATAACCTAAATCTTTAAATAACTAAATCTTTAAATATAACCTAAATCTTTAGCTAAAACCCTTACCAAAACTCAGATTACTGGATCCGCGATTGGGAAGAATTAAATATTTCAAAAAAAAGAAACAAAGACAAAATGATCGAAAGCATTTCTAAAAAAAAAATGAATTACTCCACAACCTATTTAGAATCTAGGCGAATGTCCATCGTTTTAGACCGTATGTAGATTAGTTTTGTGTTGTTCGGTTACTGTCTTATTGACGTTTATCCCATATCTCTTTTTATTCATTTTTTGTTTTTGGAAAATCAGAAAAGTCAAACAGACTATAGTGAATCGCATGACGTTCGTGGTCTTAAGTGCAAAAGAAAAATATAAAATAAATAAACTAATTAAACAATTGCAATTGGTTTACACATTTAACTTACGTACAATATGCATGCCCTTATTAAATATGTTGAAAACATAGGCTCGTCAACTCCTGCCCTTTATTTCAATACTTTATGCTTTCAAATCTTTTCTCTTAAATTTATTTCTCTGTTTTTTTATCTTATAAACATGTGATATACTGTATACAACTTGCCTACGAAAACAAATACCCCAAAAGAAAAGATGTAAATTCCGTTCTCCGTTTCCGTTCCGTATTCCGTTTCCTTCCGCCTTTTAGCAACACCCAGCATTTTTGGACATAGTTAGCATTTTTATAAATATAATTTTCTGAACACTTTTAATATAAATCATGTTTATAAAATCAGGCAAATAGGTCACAAGATGTACGATAAAGTGCCTATGAACTCACCGAATGCACGACTGACGAGTGACTCTTCTTAAAAAGTGTCCGTGTAACTTCATAAAAAGTGTCAGTGTAACACCCGTTAGAATATAGCAAAGTGCTCTCGACCAATGAAATTGTAGGATTTGATGCCTCTTAATTGTGAAGATTGAATATAAATTATGTTCTTAGTAAGGGATTATTCTATTATTTGGATCTATTTACAGTTCAAAACAAAGAGGTTCTATAAATGAGTCACAACTGCTCCGAAGCACTGTGACATTTATCAGACTGAAAGGATTATCACACAGTGATTGAAAGTGACTAAAAGTTGAATTGTGAAACAAACAAAAAAATAATAATAAGTTGAATTTTACTTGTGCAGTAAAATTGGTCTCGTGAATGTTAATATGAAAATTACTGAAAAAATAAAACTATATCAAAGCAATGCAAAAAAACGAAAAAAGGCTTTGAAATAAAAAAAAAACCTAAATCTTTACCTTTCAAAAACTTTGATTACTGGATCAGCGGTTGGGAAGAATAGTTATTTCCAATATTCCGATAAAATAAAAAAAAAACAGGAATTTAATTTAAGTTTTGAACATATTAAATTCTTTTATTTGACATAATGAAATAGTATTTGATGTAAAAAGCCGGACCAAAATATTGGCTGTGAAATAAAATTTAGTTTTAACTCAAATGTATTAATTGATTTAAACTGTAAATAAAATCAAAGTACTGACGTACTGAACATCGGTCATCGCAAGTCCTGGTGGATGGTCACAAGCACTTGTCTCAGGAAAAGAATCACATCTCTATACCTGAAAGTTAGGTTAAGGTACATACTAGATTTTTTTTTTTGAGACAAGTTCCTGTGTGGATGATGAATAAATGACAGGGAATTCAACCTCACCGTAATAATTATGATATTGTAGTGATATAATCATTTGTTATCAGTAAACTCTGGTTTGTTGTTATATATTATATTAATATTTGTATACCAGTTATATATATAGCAGATCATCTTAATAACTCTACAGGCAAAGTTTCATCTATTTATATATATCATTCTATTCTACTATTCTAATGATAGTGCAGTGCAAGTGCATGGTGGACACTCTTCTGTAATAATTGGTTTTTCTAATAGATTGGATTTGAGTAGGCATTCATATTTTCCCGCTTTTGTTGCAAAACGTTCTCGAGATATTCTTCCGCATGCGTTAACACAAATTTTCGGTATCCATGATTTGTTATTGATATATATATTTCCCACGACAAAACATTTTCATACATTTATCTATGTTCTTACAAATTATTTTCATGAATATTTATTGATGAAATTAACATATAACAAGCAATAGGGAATGTTATTTTGCACTCGATAATATCCGCGTAATTATACGAAATACGTTCGATTATTAGTCAAACGGCAAGGAAATTTCTGCGGCAACATAACACCGGCATGACCTCTCAAGGTCACATCCGATGTAAAAAGGATAAGTTCTCAATAAAATATTACATGATTTACATTCATACTCACAATCAGGAAACATATACAATTCCTACCTTTTCTTTGTACTGTTGTGTCACAGTACTATCTATAATGCCCCCTTTTTTTTTTTTTTTTTTAATATTTCCCAAATGATAAAGACCTTACATCACTAAAACAAATCCATAAATGAAATGCCGAAAAAAGAAGTCATGCATCAATTATTAACATTGCAATGACAATGAAACTAATTCTTGAATACAACCAGGAAATCATTTGAGCCTTGAGCACTTTACAATATTCTAAGTGTGTAAGAGAATGATAATCCCTTACTCCATGATAAGTACTCGCTAACGCTCGTACTTAATCATGAAGAAAGGGATTATGATTCTCTTACATATACTTAAAGTACTGTTTTTCTATAGCTCTGCTGGGGCAAAGTCGTACAACCAATCGTGCAAATTGGGTCAAATGCCAATTAGTAAATTACATAATATTTATAACGAGTGTGATACAATATCGTTTTTCAGTCCAAAATATGAATGTACACGGATTATTACAGCTTTTTGTCACCACAGGCTGTTCCCTCAAATTGACAAACCTGAAGATCATAAAAATTATTTTCAAAAAATAAAATACATTAATAGAGGTATTGATTTTATTAATTTGTCTAGTATTTTTCATGACTCTACCGTTCAAAACTTTATACCTCCTTATTTTGATAACTTTGAGTCACCTATAATTTCTTATTCATATAAAAAACAAGTAAATGTTTAATTTTTAATTATACGTCAGTTACATCAGACGCCAGTATAGAAAATAATGCTCCTTCAACATCAGACTGTGCAAAATCGAAGTTTAGATATGATCCATATGACCATGTAATTAGAGGCGACCTCAACATCGTTCAAGACCGAGAGGTTATAAACTTTCTAAAAAAAGTACCAAAATATCGTCCACCGTCAAAAATAAATTGGGAAGAGTGTCGTCAGGTTATTAAAGATGCTCTTTCATCCTATTGTAAAAAATGGTGTAAGCGGGAGAAATCTGACAAAAAGTCACTTGATTCCTATTTAAATAAATGTATGAATATTGTTGATATTCGCATATCACATTTCGAAAATAATTTAGAAATAAATAAAAGAGTAAGTAATACGCCCATTTCTAGGATTTACAACAAAATTCAAGTGCTATCAAAGCGTTTTGTGTTTGAAGCGGCCGACAAAGCAGCTAACAATGTGGTGGTGGAATGACGTTGATAATACATGGAAGTCCTTAAGAATGAAATTATACATTCAACTACATTCAAGGCCGTACGCTCCACAGAGAGTCATATAGTGAATAATCATGTCACTACCACAGCCCAGCTTAAGGCCTCCTCGACACATTTGAAGGTCCGCACTAT